CTATCTATGTCTATCTATGTCTATCTATGTCTATCTATGTCTATCTAGCTATCTAGCTATCTAGCTATCTATCTATCTATCTATCTATCTATAGCTCTATCTCTCTATCCATCTATATTGGTCGGCGTTGGGCTACTTGATGTGGCCCTGGAGTGTGAGACATCTGGCAATGTACCTTCGAAGCAAGGAGACCTCAATGACATCACATTATTCTTCACAGGAGTCAGGAAGCTGATGCTGGCAATAAAAGGAGAGGAGCAGGCTGCTGAGTCTATCCGGGACTCCAGAAAGCTATGTTATACCTGTCTCAAATCAAGAAGATGTCTGCCAAGAAGGACTTGTACGATGTGCTGAAATCCTGACGTGATGGCATGAGGTCTATTGTGTCAACTTCTGCTATAACTAATGTTGCAGTGCGGAACTTCATGTCGGAGATGACGAATGCTTTCCATTCGAAGCCGCTGACAGCTGATGTGGATGATGACGGGTGGGTGTGCCCAGGAACATCTCCCTTGCACCGATGGCAATGGCCACACCAGAGAAAAGGCATTCCTTGTTCATTAAGGGAGAGTGCCTACTGGCTGGTGCAGCCACAGAGCTGTTCCATGCAACCTGTGCTCTCAGTGGCGGATCAGTGGAGATAGTACGTAGCAGGAGACTCATGCTATTTGATCCAGTCCTTCACAACTCAGGAGACGATGGACAGAGACGGAGAACGTGGTGAGTTTTGGAGGACTCTCAATGAGCACGACTATATAAGGCTTTGGTGCTTGAGAGTGACCGGAGTCCTACGGAAGACTTGATGAGAATCAGAGAGCATCAGGCCACTTCTGCTACAGCAGTGCATACAACCACCAGGTGGCCATGTGTTCACCAGCACTGTCTGATTTGCTCAAACCTTCGATGCAAAGGTGGCAGCAGATGGCACGACAGAGGTGATTTGCCAGAGTGACCCAGTCGACTCTCCTGTGGGACGGAAAGTTTTGTACTGGAAGACGGAGCGGCCAGAAAAGACACATATCTACTCATATGTGGCATCAGATACCAAGGGAAGTGACTCACGGCCACGTGTATCTCAGTGCACCCGCTGCTTGCTCTGTGGATGAACCTTCATAGTCCCCTGGACTATGACACGAGGGAACCGGAGCCTCCATCTTTCCTGGAACTGTGGTTCCCTTTCCACTGGGAGCTTATGCGGTGGGTCTCGCAGCATGGATTCAACAGAATCCTGGTCCAGAGCGCCAAGTGTGTGACCCAGTTTCCATTGCTTGCACGCAGCGATTACCCTGGTCATCGACCACTGGTGAGATCCATCCCACTGGACTGGAAGGTGTGGCTTCAATCTCCCAACACAAGAAGCCAATGGTTTAGTCATTGCAACAAACAACCACTGGCACAGGAGCAGAAGAGCAACAGTGATGTTTGGTGCAATCTCATCCAACAAACTGAGCACATCATTCACCAGGCTGGAACTCAGAGTTTCCCGGACTTGCTAGGACGGATTAACAGTGTCACCAAGAACTGGATTCCACCCCGACCTAGCTCAAAGGTTCCATTGTGGATTGAAGACAACATCCAATCCTTAGTGGCCGACAAGTGGATGTACCTCCGTCAGGCTAGGAGCACTTCACGGAGTTCAAACAGTTAAACGTTGTGCAACGTTGCCTTCACTCCTGGTTCTTCTTTTGTAAAGTTCACAGTACACACAAAAGACTTTTACAATACAGCAAACAGAGGAGGAAAGAGAGAGTGAATGAGGTGACAGACTGGGCCTGCCGTGCTGCTTCTTGTCATGACTCCAGAGGCCTGTATGAGGCCATACGCATCCTGACCCCCAAACAAACGAGGAAGTCAGGGCAACCTCCTGGGACCAGCAGAAGAGTTACAAATCCTGGAGGACCACTTCAAGGCCATCTTCCAGACGGAACAGGGTGACATGCCATTATACTGGGCCACTCCATTGGTTCTCACGCCTGATGAATTGGAAAGACGTTGGTTGAGACCAAAGCGAACAAACCCATTGCACCCAACTCCATGCCGGCCATACTGGTGAAGACGCTGGCAAGTCCCCTGGCACGGTGGCTTCATTCCTTCATGGTCACGACCTGGACTACCAGGCCCACATACCACAATGTTAGATGCCAAGTTATCACTACTTCCCAAACGTCAAGCCAAAAAGCCTACAGACCTACGACCCATTGCACTCACTGACCCTATAGGGAAAGCTGTGTTGGGTGGGTACAATGGTGACCTTTCCTCTACTTGCCTATATTCCTGGAAGAAGCATTGCAGAGGCTCCGATTACAGTTTTCACGTTCTGTGCGGAGATCCGTACACTTTGTGCCAGGCAATCATATAGCCCTTGGAGACCACAGCAAACTCATTCAGATGAACTACAAGGCGGCATCATACTGTCACTTGACCTCAAACAAGCATTTGACCGACTACCCAGGGATGAACTTGCAAGGGGACTTCAACGATGCCACTGTCCTGACAACATTGCAACAGTGCTGATCCACTGGCTTGTTGATGCCAGGTATGAACTCCAGCATCGAGGAGATCAAACCTGGATCCACACCTCACGAGGCGTGAGACAGGGGTGCAAGGCACCACCACTGGAATGGAATGCATTTCTCATCAGAGTCATCACGTACATTGGACAGCAAACCATGGAAGGTACAGATCTGACAGTTGCTGATTGGCTTCGGCAACATCTGCTGCCTAAGCTGATGATTTACTTTTCGCTGGGAAATCAAATGCAGTCAAGATTTACAGCGTGTGTTGGAACATGTTGCTCGCGTTATGGATGCTCTTGAGTTTTTCGGCCATTCAATCAGCATGGACAAACCTGTCATTCTTCTCCGTCTAGTTGGTAAAGCAGCTCGAGCACAACTCAAACGACACACAGCTTGGCAGAATGGCTCCAAGTGGGTAGCAATTCGCAGACAATCAGGTCAGGTGTTGCTTGGATCAAGCTCGTTCACACTCACGTATACCTGGGGGTTTGCATTTCATTCGGAGCATTTGAGAAATACACCTTAAAGCGTCGTCTATCCATTGGCACTGCAGCCTTTCGCAGACTCCGCAAGTGGTTTGTGGGAAAGCGCAAATTGTCCAGTCAAGACAGAGCCAGTATTTGGTCCTCTTGCATACGGACATGGTTTGCCCTTTACTGGATTGACGCAAGAAGGACTCCACACTCTGCAACCGTATGAACGCGGATGTCAGGTCTTTGGCGCCTTCACCTAAGCACACTACACATGAGACGGACCATGTTTTCCAGCGTGTGAAACTGACCACTCCAGTGGCCTTTCTCAAGGAGCAGTGGAGGGCCTACTATGACCAGTTTGCGCATGACCTCGAAGGCCGAGATGCCACGGACTTTCTTCATCTGGTGCCTGCGGACCGTAACAGACAGAGGGTCATGATGATTTTTGACAACGCATCACTCTTGACTGAACCCCAGCCCACCAAGGCTGATTTACATGAGTGCCCGTACTGTGACCATATCAGCAATAATTGTAGATGGCATCTCAATCAGCACCTGTCAAAACGACACAAAGCAAAACCGATCCTACAAAAATTCGTTCTTCTTCGTGATGCACTAGGAGGAATATGCCACAACGCAGACACTGCCACATCAAGCTGGCAACCTGGAGAGGCCTTCAGCGCCACATTGAGCATGCAAATTGTCACCAGTTCTCACCTGATCGATCTTGCCAGGTGGCCTATGTGGACCTCCCCAATCTCAGGGCCCATGCGGCCACGGAGGCATGGCAGGCGCTCACCGGGTTTGATGGAGAAGATCAGGGGTTGCTGCCTACTTTGCAACAAAGCTTTTCACACGGGTAAAGGCCTGCTTGCACATCTTCAACGGATGAGGTCTGGAATGAGTCCAAGTTCCACCTTTCCCGGGTGATGGGGTATTTGAGAGGTTGCAAGCCGTGTAGTGCTTGTGGCAAGGATATCAGCACTGAGCACAACTGTCACGCCATCCGGCACATGGCTACTCTGTTGATGATGTCCTGACAGGCACACCGAAATCAATGGTACCTCAGCCTCCGGATGCTGGCAACACTGTGCCGGATCCTGTCAAGCGCAGGAGGACCACTCGAGATGCAGCTGCCTCATCACGGTGTGACTTCCAACCAGGCCGGGACTGCCTGGATGGTACTCCAGTCATTGCACCAAGTCCCTGGCCTCATTCTTCAGCCTACGATTACATATTGAGTCAGGGTGCAAATCGTTCAATGCCAACCGGGGAGATCATGTTCCTCTCACATGGCCAGAGACTGAAGGCTCTCTCTCTGCACCACCGGGGGCATTCAACAACATATATCCCAAGACCACCGGCGCATCCTGGCCCAAGCCAAGTCAATAGAAGACTCCTACATCGTTGAGCAAGTGTGGCAACATGTCCAGTAGGAGGGGCCATCGATGTGTGGTATACTCCCAGTTGGCCATCCTGCACCGGGCCCAATGCCTCCATGATGACACCAGCTCTCTCCAAGAGGACGACGACCAAGCCCATGTTTGCCATCCCGGCAATTGATGTCCCTCCTTCAGAGCCACCAGATGGACGAGGTGGCTTAGGTGCCTTTTTGGAGCGAATGGAACTAGCGCTGGCGAGAAGAAGCGCTGCATATGAGCTCAGCTGATGACTGGCTTGCTTTTGCGGATGGCGGCAGGGCAGCTGGCCGATTGCTGAGAGCAACTTTTCATTTTTCTTTCTTCACCTTGAGGTCGAGATGTCACATGCCTCCCTCATGCATGACCTGATGTTGAAGCACATCCTTTCAAACCACCTTTGTTCTTTCTTGGAACATGCGCGGAACTACTATAGCAGTTTTTGTTCCTTTGAGCCTGTCACTTTTTACAAAGCCTTCTTGGCTTCAAGTGCGCCGCGGCGAAGCAAGCGATGCTTGCCGACACAAGCACCAGGTGTCGAGTGCCCCACAGCTTCTGCAAACCGGAAAGTGAGCCAAACTGCAAAAAACTATCAATCCATCCATCCATCTATCTACCTATGTGTCTCTATCTGTTTCTCCATCTATCTCTCTATCTATCTGTCTATCTGTTTATCTATCTATCTTTCATCTATCTGATTCTCTATCTATCTATCTGTTGATCTATCTACCTACCTACCTGTCTATCTATCTTATCTATCTATTTATCGATCTTTCTGTCTCTCTATATTTGTCTATCTATCAATCTATCTGTCTGTCTGTCTATCTGTCTATCTCTCTCTGTGTCTATCTATCTATCCATCAATCTATCTACCTATCTATCTATCTATCTATCTTTCCACCTAATCCAACTACTATATATCTATCTATCTATCTACCTATCTATCTATCTATCTGTCTATCTGTCTATCATATCTACTTATCTATCTATCTATATACTATCTTTCCACCTAACCTAGCTACTATCTATCTATCTATCTATCTGCCTATCTTTCCACCTAATCTAACTACTATGTATCTATCTATCTACCTATCTATCTATCTATCTGTCTATCTGTCTATCATATCTACTTATCTATCTATCTATCTATCTATCTATCTATCTATCTATATACTATCTTTCCACCTAATCTAACTACTATCTATCTATCCATCTATCTGTCTGTCTATCTATCTATCTTTCTTTCTATCTTCCTATCTATCTATGTGTCTGTCTGTCTATCTATCTTTCAATCAATCTGTCTATCCATCTATCCATCTATCGATCTCTCTATCTGTCTATCTGACTATCTATTTGTCTCTCTATGTGTCTATCTATCTGTCTTCCTATCGTTCTATCAATCTCTCTCTCTCTCTATCTACCTTCCGAGGTATGAACTACAAATCTGATCGTCAGCTCTCACCGCTCCCTGTGACCATCCAAGAAGGCGAGAGCCGGCGAGAGCGGCAAATCCGAAAGGTGAGTCTATGGCCAGTGGGGCCCAAACATGAAGGAAAACATGTTTGTTGAATGGGAATGGATAGGGAGAAACCTTTTGATGTGTTGGATTTATTTGGGGTGGAAAAAAGGTGGTTTTGGCCGGGGATGTTTGGAATTCTTGGATCTGACGGACCTGTCACCTGCACGTAGCCTAAAGATGTACGATGCCTGGTTTCTTGCGTTTCTTTAGATGTTTTTGATGTTGTCAGGTTCTATCAGATCACAAAAAACATCACATGGCACATGGACCAGGCACGTGGCTCGCGGAAGCTTCCTTGTGGCTTCAATGGCAGCACAACGGCCTTGGCAACACGGTCACGGACAGCCGCGTCGACCGTTTTTCCTGGTGTTGTGTGCGGGATCGGCGCAGCAAACATCTATTGGGATCATGTGTGCACCATGGCTGCTTGGGGCTCGGCGGTTTGGGGTTGAAGTTTTACTTTGGAACAGATGCTTCAAGTAATAGAGTATATAGGATACTTGGGTAGGCCTTGAAACATTGCTTTCAGGAGGCGCATCTCTTTTTTAAAGGATTCTCGGCCTCAGAACCACTGAAGAACTGGACTTGCTGCCACCTACTCATAGTTCGATGAACCTTGAGTTTTTTAGCTGAGCAGAGGTTGTTTTGGGGGCGGCCATGAGGAGTGGCCATCGTTGACCCAAGACGGTTCCAGACGGATTCAACCTGCAACAAGATGGTGGTGCCCATGCCCCAAGTCTCAGATTCTTTTCTGCCAAGGCTCATCCAAACTGCAGATTGTTTTGGTAGAACCCCAAACACCCCAAAACCCCCGCGAGTATGGCACCATCCAGTTCAATGTCATCTTCACTTGGGCGCATCACCAGTCTTCCCCGTTTTGCTTCCCACTTCAGTGCCTCATCTCGCTGGGACGAACGGCGTGGCGGTTCCCCGCAGGAGTGTGACGTGTTGGTCCTGGATGCCGCCAAATTTCAGGCACCGTCCTCGGAAAACGCCACTTAATGGACGTGTTCGTTTGGGCGTCGTGCTGTGGCGAACTTTGGGCGTTTTCTTTTGAGAGAACGATCCGAGGGTCGAGATTTTGGGGGAAGATCCTCACCCCAATGATCCCATTGGCTGTTTGTACAGCCGCCATCAAAGCATTTGATACTGCCATCAATCCCGTGACTTCTGTTTTCTACGGGGTCAAAATGGTTCAAATGTCCTATTACCAGTAACAGGACAGGTATAATGGTTTTGGCTATAGGGTCTGTCCATGTCTGTCCTACTACATCCTATTACTATATTTTTAGATAATTTTTGGTCCTGTTTTACTGGGATAGACCCAGGTTTTGGTGTCCCAGAGAGGTCGTTTGACTGGGCGCACGTCTCACCGAACCAACCTCGTCCCTCGTCGTCGCTTCACGGCCGACCGGACGACGGAGGAGATCTTCAAGGACGACGTCACGGTGAAGCACTACGCCGTCGCTTGGGGTTCGTTTCAAGAGTCCGACCGCGGCGTCACGTGCTGTCTGGGCGGGGAGCGGAATCAGCGGTGAAGACACCCTCCGGGATCCGTTTTTGGTACAGAACCGACCTGGTTCGGTACGACTGGACCCGACGTTTTGGCACCTACCATAAGAGTGGAGACAACACATCACCTTAGAAGGTACTTGGATCCTGAGGGTTGGTTGGGAGGTAGCAGCGGTTGATGCCGCGAGAAATGGAGACTTGAAGACTCCGAGTATTTTGATACCTGAAGGTTACTCCAATCCCTTCAACTAAGAACCACCTGGAGTCTCAAAGCACCTCCGAAAATGAGTACAAGTATGTACAAGTATACCTGTTTGTATCGGATGATGTCAGTGGTGATGTCCCATGTTCTGAGGTACTTTGAAGGGTCCAGGCAATAGCCGATATGGAGAATCAGGGTGTCTCCTGCTACAGAGCAGGGAGAGAGGTGCCCTCCAACGAGCTTCGCAGTGGGCTGAAACACACCAGCGGCTGGGTGGCTGGTGTGAGAGCCGTACCTAATGAAGCTCTCTTTCCGTAGCCTTCATAGATTACACAGAGCTGGTCTTTGCACATTGTTGGACAGACTCCGAGAGACATTGTTTGGATTAAGAACTTGGCTCCCCAATGGGATGTAGAGGTGTGATAATATCAAGTTGAGGCATGTGATAGCCAAACACCAAGAGACCAATATCAAATAGCCAGTCCTTGGTCCAGCAACCAATGGACCAAGGACATCCAAGGACCGGAGAATCAATCGATGTTTGTTCGACCCGCCTTCGCCTTCTTTTTCCCCCACCCCCCAGTCGCCAGATCTTCCCATTTGTGCCCAGTCGCCCTGCAACCCTCTACATTCTCAGGGTTGGAGACCTTCTCTTAGCGATGTAAGGAATGCTTCTTTTCGGCGCGACTCCGAAACAGAGCCGTCCGTCTCTGTGTGTTTTCTCTTTTTCGGAGCGCCCCGAGAAGACGGAGGGCTTCATCCGATGGGAGCGACCCGCCTTTTAGACCCTTTTAGGATTGGAACCTGATGGCATGAAGACTAGACACAAACCACGCAAACCAGTGGTTTTTCAATGTCTTTCAGGTTCCATGGTGGGGTCTCTTCCAAATCCATGATCTCTTGAACCCTCAAACTCAGATTCAACTGAACTCCAGACATCAGCTGTGGCCACGTGGTGTGACACCTCAGCACTGACCGGCCTGGAGCCTTCTCCGCTCTCACTAAGCCATCAGCCGGCATCAACGAAGGTATACGACTGGAGCCCTAGGATTCTTTTTGAACCCTCCAGTCATCTCCAGTTTGCCACTTCACATCCGCGCAACAAACGAACGCTATGCACAAAACGCCGCGCAAACCCACTCGTTCTTCAGCGTTCTTTGCTACTCTCTCCGTAAAACTGGTTCATCTCCGGCCCAGAAACCCATGTTTCCTTCCCCCAAACAAGAACTTTGGTTCTCTCTCTCCGATCCCAAAACAACGCTCCAGATCGACCCTTACATCCCTTACTCTAATCGATCTTTGCTTCCCGCGTGTGTCCCGGCCCAAGAGAGAACGACGCAGAACGGCGCAGAACCTCGCTCGCGCCGGCACCGGCTGCTCTGCTCTCCTCGCTCTTTAGGTCGCTTTCTGGGAGCATTTCATGTCGAATCCCGCGGATCTCACCGATGCCTGGGCCGACGAGGCGGCGGAGAGAGAGAAGAACGAAGGAATGAAGGATTCAGGGCTGGGTGTCCGCTTTGTTTTTTTTAGTTTGAAGAAAACACATAGGAAAAGGTTCTGCTTTTTGCTGTGTATGTATTCTTTTTTCAGGTTGTGTTCTGTTTTGTTTTTTGGTGTTGTTGATCAGGTCCCAGGATGTTTGGAACCTTTTCCCGGTCCTTTTGGGGGTGAATCCTCCAAACCTTCCGGCTTCCGGAAGATCCGCCAATCGGGGTTTTGGGTCGAGAGAGTGGGGTCCGGAGCATGCATCCTCTGAGGTGAACGAGATCACTTTTGTTTGAGTCTTTTCATACCCGAAACATCCCCAAACTGTCCTTTTCACACGACCCCTTTCCTTTCCGGGTCCCCAAAGCGGCAGAATTGTGTGGCCCCGACTTAGGAGGGTCCAGGGTCGTATTCGGTCGTTCATGTTTTGTTAGTGATTATTGTTTTGCGTTGGCTCTGACGAATGCCCTCCGTAATTTCTTCCAAGAATATTCATTGCTTGTTCCTCCCTCCCAATAACATTTATCCAACGAACATGAAGGGACCTTTTTTCAAGTCATACCAACACAGGTGCATAACTTACAGAACCAACCTTACCCCTATTCAATTGCACTGTTTTTCCAACGAAGCTCCGCAGGATTTGCTCTTCCAATGGTCCACCGAAGCCCTACAGACGGCGGAGCAGTCGCCTGTCGATGGTGTGGGCGGAACAGTCGCCTGCGAAGGGTGTTGGTCAATGGCACCCCGTGGAAGAAGCAAAAATCGCCAGAATGAACATTCCCATGGAGGTGAATAATTTGGTTTGGGGCTTTGGGGCCTACTCTTTTTGAGAGGGGAGCGCTGTGAGCGGCGCGTTTTTCGATGAAAATTAGCATTTTTCAACCTTTTTCATGCGTTTTCTTGAGAATGATTGATGTGTCTGACATTGCCTGGAAGGATCTGCCTGGAAGCGCCCAGATGTTATTCAGTAAGATCGGTCAAGAAACCTACAGTGATTATGAAAAAAAAGAACCAAAATTGGAATGATAGAATGAATGACTTTACAAGAAACTTAAATGATCACTTTAAACAACATAGAACACTATATGCTGAAGAGAAAAATATAGCAAACAAGGAGAAGATAGAAGACCGCAGGGGCTTATGGAATGCCTATTCATCACCAAGTGCTTTTTACAAAACAAGTAAGACTTTATACATAAGTGGCACAGGTGGTTGTGATGGATCTTTAACAAGGGATATTATGGATGATCTGTTATTAGTACCTACTAGAAATGTTCATCACAGTGAGAAATACAAACATGTTATAGAAGAATTGGAAAAGTCACCAGAAATAACCCGTTTGGTTGGGCATAACCTTGCAAGTGCTGTAATAAGATCAATCAAGAACAACCTAATACATTTGCTACAACAACCTATGCTACCCCTACAACAAAAAAAAAGGAAAGGAACAAAAGTCCCAAAAGACTTGACTACCTCAATCCATCCGATATTGTTTCAATGTTGGATGGTTACGCTGTAACTTCTGATTTGAAAGAACCTAACCCTTTAATGAGCCACAGCTATATCAATTTTGAAGGGAACGGCCTTTGGAACATCAATCCCGGCACCAATATAAGCAATGGATTTAACCCCAATCACTCATTTAAAAAACAACATTTAAACTAAATGTTATGGTGGATTACTCCAAGGCAAACTTTTACAGAATACTAAATGACAAAATGACGATGTCTATATTGGTGCTACTTGTCAGCCATTGAGTGTTAGAATGGCAGGACATAGAAGGGGGCGGAATGGCAAAGATAAGAAACATTACAAATTGTTATCACACAATCACCCAAACATTCAATGCTGGTGGTGGTGAAATTAATATGAATATTGTAAAATCATCTTCTAAACTGACTGGAGCATTCATTACCTTATTTAGAACTCCAAGGAGTGGTGAAGAACTGAACCGATACTTACCTGACAATTATGTATATAAGAGATGGAATTAATCCTATGATCTATGGAAGAATTAATGATACTGGTAATGCTGATACAAATGACTTACAAGGTACAAAGGTTTTCAAGATGCCACCCGTAGTTTAAGTTGGCAAATTCAATTAAGCAATTCCCAGAAATACACAGAATTTGAAGCGCAATCATTATCATAAATCTTTTACTATTTAAGAAGAGCTATACAGTACATGACAGTTTAAGTTTTTCGTATCGTCAATACAGAAAGAACAAATTCATTATTGGTATGTCATTTGAAAAAATTGCAGATGTCAATTTTACTGGTTATAATTCTAAAATGTCAGGTATTACCAATTTTCGAGTTAAAGGAGCAGAAGGAGCATTATTAGACCCTAATGAACAAATCACTGAGGGTTTCAGAGACTGTTCTGGAATTGAGAGAAAGTGGTAGTATTGTCTACTTCCAAGGAAATTGAAAATTTAAAACATCCCAGGAAATCAAAAAATCCAAAATTCCAATTTTCCAAAATTCCAATTTTCCAAAAAAACCAAAGAAACCAAAAAAACCAAAAAAAACAATTCTGCACAGACCATGGGGGGAAGAGGGGGTGAGGCAAAGTCCTGGCACAATTGTTTTTTTTTTGTTTTTTTTGGTTTCTTTGTTTTTTTTGGAAAATTGGAATTTTGGAAATTGCCTTTGGGGGAGGGGGGGGGGTTGAGGCAGAATAGTATTCTTTCAGTGGCACAAAAATCAATAGAAACGCAATACAAATATAGAAACAAAATACAAACAAAATGAAACAATGCAAAAACGCGCCGCTCAGAGCGCTCCTTTCTGCTCTTTTTACCAAACAGCCATCTAGACTAGCCGAAGTGTCTTTATCTGGCGTACAGCGATACATTAAGAATCAAGACGTTAAGACAATGAATTCGTGCGGCGGCTGAACAAACATCCCTTGAAACTTCCATCCGGTCCACCCTCTATGCGTGCTTGATGTGCTATGTGTCCATCTCGGGTCCGCGAAGCTTTTTCGACTGACCGAAGCTCGCGGAGGGGAGCGAAGCGTGGAGATCCTGGGCCAAAGCGAGCTTAAGAACCGTAGGGATCACACAGGACCACACACACCACATGGCTTGCCATACCAGTTGCGGGAACCCCAAGAATATTTACTCCATCTTGATGCAACTCAGAGGTGATTCAGAGGTCTTCTAGGTCTTCTTCTTGACTCCTTTCAAGAGGTCCCCACCAACCACCCAAAGTAGAAGCCCACCAACCACCTACGTCGTTCTTCGTCTCTCTATCCATCTCCAGGTGTATGGGTAGCGTGATCGAGCCGGACCACCGGAACACCGCCTTTTCGCGGCACGTGACCCAGAAGCGCCGCTCCAGCAGCGCCATGCTGGATGAGACCATCCTCAAGGAACGGCGAGTGCCGGTTGCGCCGGTTGCGGAGCACCACTCCGGTGCACGGAGGCTCGAACCAAGCAGTAGGGAGCCTCTTCCAGACATGGCATGGTTCCTCATCCTCCAAAGGTGTCATAAATAGCTGGATCTTCGAACTGTGCAACATGTCTGCCTTTTCATCTTAAACAACAACGCAACCCAAAAGGATCCCAAAGGCATGAAGAAAAGGCAGAGTGGTTTGATCCAGGTCTCCCAGACGCACAAAAGACGACTGGAGAAAAAAACGACCGATCGGGACCAGCATGGTCGTTGATGGGTCTAACTAACTGATCGGCAGTCCTATTTTTTCAGTCTCATTCGTCGTGTGGAGGTCTGGGAGGTCTGGGAGTCTACCCCTTTGTGGAGAGGATGAACATGAAAAACCCTGGACTCCAAGGACGAGTCCTACCCCTTGGCAGTTGGTCACCAGTCGGACTGAGGCGCCAGGCGCTTCGCGCCAGGCTTCGCACCCGCACCGATGGAGCTTCGGTTCGACACAGGTGTCGACACACCTCCATCGCCACCCTTTTTCTTTGGAACGAAATTGTGAGCTTGGTTTGACAATTGGGGGAGGACTCCCATGTCATCTAAGCTCATGGGTTTTGGGCGAAAAACTGTCGTGTTTTCGTTTTGGCCGCGGCAAACTGTCGAGAAGTCTGTCAAGTTTGGCCTGACTTTTTCTGCGTAGGACTACCCTCGCGCACACTCGGCAGACGCGGTGGAGATGAGTCCATGAGGCCGGGAAATAGTGGTAAACAGGAGAGCCACCGGGCCAACGAAACCCCTGACCAAACAATGAACATGTTGGAACCCGTTTGCGCAAGAGATCCACAAGTGGCTAAAATTGGGGAATTCCGAGACTGTTTCTGGTCGGTTTCCTGGGGAATTCGCCGTTTTTGGTGGCTATAACCACGCTGGACTGCAGTCCAGCGCCATCGCCGGAGTTTGGTGGTCGAAGGGAGAGCGAACCAGCGTAGTTGCTGGGCCCTCTGGTGCGGGTTTGGAACATAGACCAGTCCACCTCTAGCCAGGGCGAGAGTCAGAGGGTCTCCCGGATTGAGCAATACACACAATCTCTTAGTTACTAGTAGCTTCTTGTTACCTAGTAGTAATGGCCTCCAACCTAATAGCGATGGCCTCCACCGTGCGTAGCTTTTTGTTTCTATAACGTAGCTGGATTGGAGGATCATTGGAGTCTGGAGTGGTTTAGCTTCCATTGTTGACCCCAGATGGAAGGTGCTGGATATCATTGGCGGTTTGAGGGTTTGTTGGGGGTGCGAGGTGCCCCCGCCTTAGCGAAGTTCTGGAGGTCGTTGACTTTCTGCTCCCCTCCTTCCAAGTTGGGGAACTCGGCTTGTGTTGGTTTTGATGTTCTTTCTTAGTATTGTGATCCAACTAAGAAGGGGCCCTATAGGGGCCCTATAGGCAAACATCAAACCAACATAAACCAATCTGCAATCCAACCGAAAGCCAACCGGGACCCGTGACCGGTAACGGTCCGCTCCGGGTGGATCAGCCGTCGTTGACCTGGTTGTGGATTTGACGCAATGAAATCAGGGTCGAACAGCTTGGGAGGCAGGGCAGCATGGTCCTGTTTGCATCAGATTGGTTTTGGGATCCGCCGAGGTTCGAGGACCGAGACACGATGAGCGGCAGCTTTTTCTTTGGCCCTGCTTCTTCGGGTCCTAAAAGTGCTACACTACGTGGCACTGGACCCGTGGCCGCGCGTCTGACGCGCTCAGCTTGCTTTTTAGTTTGGGACTTTTCTTGGCTTGGGAAGAGTTTGGTTGCTTCACAATGTACAATCAAGGAGCCTCAAAGGTGAAGGTTTTGAGGGCCCGAACTCCCCTTCTATTTCTATGCAGGGTCAACACTCTCAGTAGGAGGGTCCAATGATGTTTATGTGTAATACAGAAGGAACAGTTGCTTTTGAATATATATATATATGTTAAGTTGGACATCATCACTCTACTTGGACCACCATCGGAGTGGAGGTCAATGACTGGAGGTCAATGACAAGACGCCCAAGCCCCTTCTGCACGTTTGGCCAAGTCGAGCCGACTGCCCTTGCTGTCCAAGAGGTCAATTGAACATGCAAGCTTGGACCAAATATCACGAAGAAGATGCTGAGGGTACCCAGGCAGCAGGAAAGGACTTATGCTACACGTGTTGCCAGGTCCCTCCCAAAAGCTGACTGGGTCGTTCCATTCATTGAAGGAAGACCTCTCGAGCCCCCCTTGGAAAAGACATCCTGCACTATCTCCATGCAACTGTACTCCTGTAATCCGCTGTATGTCGGATGCTTTTGCACTGAGTGTTCGTGTTTCGGAGTGGTACAGGATATGTTTGAAGGCATCAGTGGACATGAGCCACTAACATGTGATTTGCAATGTTTTTGGCTGACTTCAGATCATTGAGCACTTCCCCCTGTGGCCATCCAAGAGAAAACATTCAGCCGCCTTCTTCAGCGTTTGTAGAGTGGAAAAGCTGAGCTTCAGGATACTCGCAGGTCTAGTCTTTGATATTTTGCGATAGGTCGCCCAAACCGCGAAGACCCTCTAAAAGAGTTCGGGAACCACCTGGTATTTTGTAGTGTAAACATCGTATAAATCCTATATTGTATGTCAATAGGGATGGGGTCCCAGTATAGTCGCTATACAGGTACATGCCATATACTTTTGGCTCAAGTGCCCAACCAGGTAAAAAGGAGCTTTAGCGCGCGAGCTTCATGTTGACCTAAGAGCTAGAACGGGGCCAGGGCACACCTTTCCATCCGTTCGCAGGTTATCAGCCGTATCCAGACTCCTTTGAGCTGGGTACGAGCTGCGGCCTTACACAACACCATCCAAGCGCACACGCATCGGATAGATCAGTTACCCTCAGTCACTGAAGATGGACCAATCCGACGCCAGCACTGCATCTTTTGGAGCAGCTGCTGCGGCCGCAGATCGGATGAGTGCATCCCACAACTCTAGTCCAGGTACGATCGAAGCGGAGACTCTGACAGTGGTGAGAGAAGATGCGACAGGTAGAGCACGAAGTCGTTCCCCGTCAGCGCACTCGACACCACCGGGGGGGACACCGAGATCAGGCCGTAGCCCTAGGGAGACAAGGAGGAGGACTGACACCGGAGCTGTGAGAGTGTTAGCATTGCAGGATGGGTCAGCTGTACCAGTGCCGTCGGACAGCGAAGCTGGAGATGGAGCAAGGGCAAGCACTGACAACCTACAACTAGCACGGGCCGATGGAGACCTGAATGCGAAGTGTGCGCAACTACTTGCCGAAGTGCATATGTTGAACCACCAGAACGCATGGATGGTCGAATGTGAGCAGAGACAGAACCAGATTATACAACACGAGACAGAAGTCCACGAAGTAGTGATGGCACACCTCGAAGAATGTTACGTCGAAGGATATGGAAATCAACGAAGAATCTCCCAACTTACAGAATCCAGAGACTGTTTGCTCTCAGCAGCACACGATCTGCAATACCAGATGGACACTGATCGTGTGGCAATGCGGGATCGTCTCACCCAGTTAGGGGAGTACGCTGATCGCAACAGCGCAGAGATGGTTAGTCAAGTTGTGAACATCGGCACGGAAGAGATCCAGGCTATATCGGCGGAAAGAGATCGAGCCGTAACCGAGGTCATGACTACAATCGCAGATGCTGAGAACGTCAAGGATCTGTGTAGACAGGAGTTGGTTGGACTACAAAGGCAGAGTGCCAGAAACAAACACGAATATGCTGAGGAAATGAAGATGAGGGAAGCAATGTATGCAAACAAGATCAAATGGTTATCAGAAGAGAATGAGGAGCTCAACAACCGATCTAATACTCAGGACAAGTTCATCTTGAGCATCAGAGAGCAATTGAAGAAGGCGAACGAGGAGTTGACTCAGACGAGGATTCAAGGATCCGATCGACCGTTTCAACCATCTAGCGCCGAACTCAAGAAGGCCGAAGCCAAGGTGAACATGTTGGAAGAGGACATTCTACGTAAAGAGAGGATGCTGAAACGTCTTCAGGAAGAATTGATCGAATCAAGCGCAAGTGAAGCACAATTGAAGGTCGCACTGAAGTTGAAACCACCAGACATGGGATCAGAACCCAGTGTGGAGAATGAGATGATGACCAAGCTTAGAGCGGAACTTGAACGTACTGAAAAGTTATTAAGGTCCGAGGAGAAAGAGGCAATTGAGTACTACGAAGGTATGATGCAGAACCAACAGGACATGATGGAATTCGAAGCGCATGCATCACGGCTCAGAGATGAGAGGAATAAGTACCGGAAGAGGTACGAAGAGGAGCGCACAAGTGCAGAGAATGCAGCCGCAACCGAACATGGTGCCGCTTCATCCTCTAGCTCAGGTGGCTCCAAGATATCTCGGAAGGAACACGAGAAGATCAACATCCCTGCATGGCCCAAGATACACGACCTGGAGGTTTGGAAATCCCAGGTTGTAGCGGCAGTCGTGACGGCGTCGGGCGACGAGAAACAAGAAGACTGGATCCAATGGCTCTCGGATGCCTTCAGATCACCATATGACCCATTTCTACTCGAGACATCAGGCGAAGCAAGATTCGCTAGCATAGACGCCAAGCTAGGTATCACCCTACATACGATCATCCACGCAGCAGGTGAGAGATCTCATGACGTACAACTGAAGGTGAGGCAGATGATGCAGAGACGTGCGAGAGGCACAACTCCTGGAATGGTCAAGGGACGAGAAATGTTAGCGTTGATCGTCGATAGTTTCCGGAGTGCCGACAACGTTGATGTGATGTATGCATCCAAGCACTTATTCGATCTAAAGTTTCCTGGGGATAGTCAACTATCCAGATTCCTTGGACAGTGGGATGAGATCATATCAGGTATGGATGCGGACGACATGCTTCCTGACAAAGCACTTCGCAACCTGCTTTGGGATAAGATTAAGGATTCCAAAGTTATGGCGTTAGACTTGTCTGTGTACGACAACATGTTGGATAAGGATCCGGATAAGACCTACCAGAAGTTACGAGAGATCATGACGAAGTGGATACGGAAATCAATCGAGACCACAAACAAGAAAGAAAGGGAAAAAGCTTTTGGGAACATCGTGAAAGCCACACCAGCGGCGGAGAAGAAGGACCCTAAAGCGAAACCCAAGAATACCAAGGCCGATCCACCGAAACATGACGCCGCTCCAGTACTTCCTCAGGCTAATCCGAAGGACCACAATAAGAAGGACAAGAAGCAGGATCGTGGAAGATCAGCCACGAAGAGCCCAAAAGGGGATCGTGGCAGGTCAGCGACTCCAGCAGATACGTCCAAGATAGGATGCGCTTTCCACTTCCATGGAAAAAACGGATGTTCTAGAGGAGACAAATGCAAGTTTAGTCACCAAGAGAAGCATAAGAGTTCTGCTAAGAAACCAGAAAGCCTCAAGGGTGACAGATCAAAGAGTCCTGGTGGCAGGAGCAGTAGCCCTAAGCCAATGAAGGATCAGGTCTGTTGGAATTGGCAGAAAGGATCGTGCAAGTTCGGGGACAAATGTCGACGTCAGCATCACGCTGCTCCTGCTACGAAACAAGAGGCTAAAGGCAAAGCCAAGCCCAAACCGGCTGCGCCAGCCTTCATGCTTTGCGGAGACATCGAGAGTGATGACGAGGACGTACAACCCGCACTTCCCAACGTACAAAAAGGTAAGCTGGCGCTTCGCTTTAAAGTCAGATTCGATGACCAGGCGAATGTGACCACGTTCACCTGCGATCCTGGTAACGAGCTAAACATCCGTCCCCTCAGGAAGAAGAAGAATGAGGCGCAGAAGGTGGATACCGAGCTCATTTCGTCGTTGAGAGCCCTCAGAGTGAGCAACATAGCTGCACGAGTAGCACATGCCAAAGGTAAGATGATGGAGCTATTCTATGCTGAACACATTGCCAAGGCATGGATACAAATCACTCAAGATGAAGGAATCGAGGTGAACGTCGACCTGTCTGATTTCAACACCAGAGAGGTAGTAAGGAAGGATTTTGTCAACTACACGATACCAGGAGACACGATGTTCATGGCTGTGGAGAGGTATGATGGACCACCAATACGCTTCATCATGGACACGGGATGTGGACACGATTTGATCTCAAGAGAGAAAGTCAATGCCATGGGCCTTACCACCAAGGAAGGACCCAAATCCGTGAGCTTCATGACAGCGAATGGTGTAACTAGTACATCAGAGATGGTGGACATCAATGTGGACGAACTACCCATGAGGTCCGAGGCACACGTGTTGGAGAGCACACCATCAGTCTTTTCCATCGGGAAACGGTGCATGGAACAAGGGTACTCATTCATATGGCCGGCAAATCAATTGCCATACCTCATCGACCAGAACGCGAACAAGATTCCGCTATCGGTGCATGACAACATACCCTACATCAAGGTGAATGATGATGACGGGAGATGTTTACCAAGACCAGACGGCTTGGCTACGATACTTCATCGCATACTGTCAGGTGTGGGGCATGAAGACGAGGTCACAGCAGGTCAGGAGACACAACAAGAGGAACTTCCGCCCAGGAAACCACGGAGACGGAGGAGAAAGAAGAAAGATAACCAGAAAGGTCGGGATGGTGAATCTGATATCAATCCAGCTGTTGCAGGCGTTGAAGGAGGACCAGAGGAACACGGTGATGACAGGTATTCTCCTGAAGAGGAATATGACGGGGAAGACCCGAGATTCGATCGTGATCACGAAGGTCAACCTGAAGAAGCCGGAGGCGACGAACATGGAGGTGATGCGGATTCTGA